ACTCCGGTGTGGGGAGGTACCGAGGTGCCCACCAACAGGAGACTAAGCAAAGGACTGAAGGGCAGGCTGGCTTCCTTCACATCAACTTGAAACTTCAATGATACCAGAGGGATGTAGCTGCTAAGCTAAGACAAGACTAAACCACCTTATGGATTCACCTTTCTCTATGCCCTTTCCTTTTTTTTTTTTTTTAAAGAGGTTTTTTGCTTTAGGGTACATATGCTGCTTGCCAGTGTGAGAGAGAGAGAAACAGACATGATGGAAGGGAAAGTGAGAAATCACTCCCCCCACCCACCCCCGGGGAGGATGGCCATGCTGCAGTCCCTCCTCCTCCATTCTCCTGAGATCTTGGGCACGCATGCATGCATGCCTGGCATGATTTTAAGCCACTGGGTCTGGGATGTGAACTGCAGTCGACCATATGGGAGTCCAGCAACTCTGCCATGCGATGCCATCTGCTGGCCCTGCCCTTTCATTTTGACAGCACTGTCAAGGGCTTGAGACTGGGGACGAGGATGGCAGGCAATGCCAAGCGCACACCTGCCTCCTAGAGATAGAGTAGGTGTCTACTCATTTCCTACACTCACTTTCTGTACTCGACCTCACAAACACTTTTACTCCCACTTGGGGAATTACTTCCCTGGGATTACAGGATGACTAGATTTAAGATAATCACATTGTGTTCTCTGAGTCTTCAAGCTTTCATGTTAACATAAATTCTAAATAATTAGTCCTAAGAAGTTAGATGTTATATAGTTTATTTCTAAGCACAAAGAATGTGTTGGATCATCAGAAAAGTCACTGACATACTTTTCTAGGTACAAATGCACCATGACTTTTCTGACAACCAAATTTGACAGCATAGTTAGCTATTTATCAAGATACATGGTCTGAAACCGGCTCTGGTGAAGGCGGAGTAAGAATCCTTTGAAGGCCAGTAGGTGGTGTGGAGGTTACGGTACTGGATCCCACACGGCCGGCTGTGCTGTTACGGTCCTGGACCAGGCAGCGTAAGATCATGCCAGGCACATGTGCAGGTAGGCCCAAAATCCCAAAAGGAGGACGGACGGCGGAACGGCCGTTCCTGGGGCTGATTTCTCACTTGCCCTGTCTTTCTCCACCTCTCTAGTGAGTGCATGCACTCTACAGCAAAAACTTACAACAAGCAAAAAAGAATCCTTAAGGAGTGAGGGAGTGGGGGCAGAGGGTGAGAAGACCCAAATTGCTCACAGGACACACCTCAGACAGTGGGGAAGCAGAGGAAGTGGTTTGTTCACCTTGCCCTACTGTGTGCCAGAGTGGTCCAGCCAAGCACACACGGAATCTGAGTACGAACTTAGTGACCTATCATCTGTGTGTCTGTACACAAGTCAGCTTCAGCGTCCTATACTTCACTGGCAAAATGACAAAATAATAGGTGCCATTTCCAATTCCAGAGTATAGTTGTGCAGCTCAATCGAAACCAGTATAAGAAAATATTTTGTGGGACCAGCAGGTGGCGTGGTGGTTAAGGCGCTGGACACTCCCATATGGCTAACCATGGTTTGAGTCCCGGACCTGCAGGCTTGCTTTCTCACTTCCTCTGTGTGTGTGTGTGTGTGTGTGGCTGTGTGTGTTTTGGGACAAATGAAAATAAATTAATGAATAAATAAAATTAAATAATTCTTTTAAAAAATAAAATATTGTGTACACTCAACAACCCTAAAGAAATACAATTTATTGATATTACTATTGATGTGATTATCTGAATAAGAATGTTCTCTCACAAGGAGCTTCTGTGTCAGCACTGTAACAAGCACAGGCATTCATTCATTCATTCATTCATTCATTCACGGGACAAGTATTTACCAAGTATTTACTAGGATGCAGACACAGTTCTAAGCTCTGGGAATACAGCAGTTAACAGAATCAGAAGTTTATTATGGAGGCTGGCAGGTGGCATGGTGGTTAAGGGCGTTGGACTCCCACATGGCTGACCGTGGTTTGAGTCCTGGACCTGGCGGCTTATTTTATCACTCTCTTCCCCTCCTTCTCTCTCACTCTGTCCCTCTCTGGTCAAATTAAAATAAATAAATAAATAAATAAATAAATAAATAAATAAAGCTAATGAAAAGCATTATTTTAAAAAATGCTTCTAATAGCCCAGTGGTGATGAGGGTGGTGGGCGGGGAGAGAATAAGCAAACCATGTCAAGTGTGAGGACAAAGCAGAATGATGGAAAGAAAACGGTGGCGACGGCAGGAGAGGCTGCTGAGCAGACACGTGGATGTGTAGTGGAACCTGAATGTGTGTGCTCGGTGAGTCTGAGAAACAGCAAGGGTGCCTCTGGAGATGGCACTCAGGGCCGGAGAAGGAGAATAACGAGGGAGGTTCAACAGGAGCAATGACAGTTGTGCCGTAGCCATGATAACAATGTTCTAAATTTTCTTCAAGAGTAAATGGAGGGATTCCGACCACTGAAGACCCTCTCACCTGCCCAGACTTCAGCCTCGTGCTCGCCAGGCCCAGCCAGGAGCCAGGTTAGAGCACCTACTTACTCTCTTTCCATCTCGCTCTACTTTTAATTCTTTTTTTTCCCATTTTTAAACTTAGCTCTCTGCTGCTCTTTTGTTTTTCTAATTCTTACCTTTCCCCCGTCCCCACAGGATAAGCCAAGCAGCAGCCATCTATATTTGAGTTCTGAGCGGCCCCATTCCTGGGCATGCTAGCATACCTCGCAGTTTTCATTTTTTGAGAAAAAAAATTTTTTCCTCTC